GTTGTGGTGGGGTCGCGGCGACTGGCGAGTATGCGTGCGCGGATTGGGTAGGAGTGGGGGACATGGGGGATCCAGGGGGCGCGAGGATTGGCTGGTGGTGCCGGGCGAGGGGGGATTGGTGGATGGGATCGTGCGTGGAGTGGGCGGCGGGCGCTGCATGGCGGGGGCGGAGGGACCGAGGCGGGGCCCTGACGAGGCAGGTACGAGGTAGGTACGCAGAGTTCGGGGGGGATCCCGAGGCCCGAATTTTCTGTGGTCGTACGAGTGCGCTGTGATGGCGTGTCTCCAGAGGAGTAGGGAAAAACCGTTTCGTCGAATGTGACGTGACGAGAGATGATGACCTTGCGGGTAGTGAGGTCGAAGCACCGATAGCCCTTGTGCTCTAAGGGGTAGCCGAGAAAGACGCAGCGAGTGGAGCGCGGGGAGAGTTTGTGCGGACTGGTGGCAATGGTGTTAGGGAAACAGAGGCAGCCGAACACGCGCATATGGTCATAAGTGGGGTGTTTGCCTAGAAGGCGGAAGAAGGGTGTCTCGGATGCGATGGATGAGCATGGGCGGCGGTTGAGTATATATGTGGCGGTGTGAAGAGCTTCTACCCAAAAGGGTGGCGGGAGGTTGGCATGGATGAGGAGCACTCGTAGGATGTCGTTTGTAGTGCGGATGAGCGTTCGGCCTTGCCGTTTTGGGGCGAGGTGTGGGGGCAAGAGAGGCGAAGAGAGGCGCCATACCGAGAGAAAAGGTCGCAAAGGGAGGTGGTGAGGAATTCTCCTCCGTTATCACATTGCATACACTGGATGGCAACGTGGAACTGAGTAAGTACGTAAGCGTGAAAGCGGTGAATAACATCGACGGTGTCGGACTTGTGGCGCAAAGGGAAAGTCCAAGAGTAGTGAGAGTAGTCGTCAAGTATCACTAAATAATATTGAAAGCCAGAAAAACTACAGGTGGGGGAAGTCCACAAATCACAATGTATGAGTTGGAATGGCGCACTAGTAGTAGAAGTTGAATTGGGAAAAGGCAGCCGCGGCTGCTTGCCTAATTGGCATGCCGTACAAACAGAAGTTTTAGACACACCATTATTACATGCTGGAAGAAAAGTGCGAGATAAAATAAAAACAGTCTTGTTGCTAGGATGCCCCAATCGTTGATGCCACACGTCGCCACCAACGACGGTGAGGAGAGCTTGGACGCCGGTGTTGGTGAAGAAAGGATATAAGTCCCCGTGACTATTGGATCTCAGGATGATCTTGCGAGTGGCTAGGTCCTTCACGGAAAAACCGAACGGGTCAAATTCTATACTGCAATGGTTATCAATGGTGAAACGACGTACGGAAATCAGATTTTTGATGATAGTAGGTGATACTAAGACGTCGTTAAGTGAGAAAGAGGAAACGGAGGTGGAGCCAACAGCAGTGATAGGTAAACGAGATCCGTCACCAACAACTATGCCAGAAGAATGATGCAATGATGGGGAAGAATACTTGGAGAGGGTGGACGTCATACCAGTCACGTGGGAAGAAGCCCCGGTGTCCAAGAACCACTCCTGGCCGCCGCCGCCATGGTGCTGCATGGACAGGTTCTGAAGCGCGGCGTAGAGCTGATGGTACTGCTCCCATGTGGGGCCGCCGGCCGGCGGCGCGGTAGCCAGCGGGTACGCCTGATGAGGAGGCGGAGGGCGTGGCCCCAGCACCCCCACGGCGTTAGGCGCGGCCTAGGCTGGACAAGGCGCGGGCAGCCCGGGCAGGAGCGTGCCGTAGGGGGTGAAGAACCCAGAGAGCGGCGAGCCAGCAGCGGGAGGGACGGCGCCGCGCCCGGTCGAGGAGCCACCGGTGGTGGGGGAGCCGCGTCCACGACTGCGGCCGCGGCCGCGCCCACGCCCGCGCGCGTTGGTGTCGGTGCCGGAGGACGCAGCGCCCTTGCCCTTGTCGTGCGAAGGGCGGTCGATGGAGCCAGAGCCGGGGCGATCGGAGGAGGAGCCGGCGCCGGCGGTGTCGATGGTGAGCGCCGTGGTGGTGACCTCGGGGCGCCCCTCGAGGCGAGCGCGTTCGTTGGCCGAGATTTCTTCCATGAGGAGGCGCGAGCGGACCTGCGCGAACGTGGGGAAGGGCGACTGCATCGGGAGGAACGTCGCCATGACGTGGAACTTGCGGTTCAGCCCACGGATCAGCTGCAGGGTCAGGGTCTGGTCGGTGACGCGCTCGCCGACCTCGGAGAGCTAGGTGGCGAGGGTCCGGAGGCGCCGACAGTAGTCGGCGACGGAGAGATCCCCCTGCACCAAGTTGCGGAATTCGGCATTGAGGATCACGGCGCGACCTGCTTGATTGTCGCGGAAGACCAGGTGCAGCTGGGACCAGATGTCGAAGGCGGTGCTTGCAGGGGACGCGGCGACTTCCAGCAGCTCGTTGGCGACGACCCCATAGAACCATAGAACGATGGTTAGGTCATCATTGCGCCAGACGGCGCTCTCATGCAGCGGGACGGCGGCCTTGTCGAGATGATGCTGCACGTTGTGTTTACAGCAGATGACATAAAAAAGATGACGCCATTTGGTGTAGTTACCGGACTCCAAGTCCAATTTGGACTGGAAGTGATGCGCGATCGAAGACGGCAGGCCGGCGGGGGCGAAGGAACAGCCGGCGTCGGGCGTGGAGAGGCGCGGGAGCACGGCGCCATGGGGAACGGGGACGCTGCCTGCAGTGCGGAGGGAGCCCGCGGGAGGGGCCGCGGCGAGGTGGAGCCCGTGAGCCGCAGTGGTCGAGGAAGAGGGAGCGGCCTCGGGGACGGGCTCCTTGCCGCGGACGACATCCGGCGCGAGCCGGGTAGGACGGGCCGCAGGGACTGCGGCGGGGTTGGGGATGGCCGTGGGCGGAGCTGGGACGGCCGCGGCAGGGTTGGGGATGGCCGCGGGCGGAGCTGGGGCGGCAGGCAGGGGAACCGCGGCGAAGGGTCGCGTAGGTGCCGCCGGCGAGTCGAAGTCGGCGGAGCGAGAGCGACGGAGAAGGCGGTTCATAGCGGAAGCGAGAGAGGTGGATCGGAAGATGCGTCTGATACCAAGTTGGATTGTATTACTCTCACACTTGTATTACATAGCCTCGATGGGCTTAAATAGAGTACATCAACAGAGTACAGAGAGGTGAGGTGAGAGGTTACATCGCATGCCTAGCATGCAGGACGTGCAGGCGCACGTTGAGCGAGAGAGAGGCGCTGGCCGTTAGCCCAGCAGCAGACCCGGTCAGGTGGTTCAGCCACCTGATGACTGGAGAGTGCGTGCAGTCGAACACATCATGCCTCGCCACCACGACATCGATTGCCGCAACCCACAGTCACCTGTCGTCGCTACTTTCGCTCCGGTCATTGGGCACACAGCTGCTCCCATCCGCCGCGCCCGCACCGCCGCGTCGGCGTTCCCAGTCAACGACGGGCGCCACTTGCGTCCCCGACCGCGCTCCGCCCACCGCAGCCGCCTCCGACCTTGGATTGGGCCATGGCTTCCTCTGTGTTCGCCTCGACTTGGTCTGGAGACCATACCGTGCGCCCGGAAGTCTCCTCCGTCATCCACAACACCGCCGCAATGCAGATGGAGGTGGCACTGCTCGAGTCTAACGTGGTTCTTGCCTGGTTCGACCGGAGCAGCGTGCATCAACTGACAAGGTCGTCGTGACCATCGCCCGCAAAATCGGGGCGCTCACGCGGGACGTTGTCGTGTGTTCCACTACCCCGAGCAGTTCCTGGTGCGGTTCATCCATCAGCATCACGCGGCCATCACCGCCTCCCGACGCGAGATCTTGTTCGGCAACAACAACAAGCTGCAACCACGGGCCTATCGCTTGGAGGCGCACGCAGAGCATGTCGACCTCCGGCACCATGTCAGAGGGCCTGCCCGTATATGCATGGGACGGGCTCGCAGTGGCCAACGCCATTGGTTCCGGCTGCTCAATCGACTATGTCGAGCCCGCGTCCAAGCTTAACATCCATATGCTAGAGAGGCGGTTGGCCGGTTGCGCTGGTCGTCGGCTGGGGAATGGGGATCTGCTCGGTGGGACGGCGGCGAGGCGAGGGCTGTGGCCTGTGGGTACGCAGGAGACGGGTAGTCTGGCGGTCGTGCACTGTCGCAGTCGCAGGGCAAGGCTTACCTCTGGTAATTTCTTCCCGAGGTGATTGTTGGCTTGGTGCTCGCTGCTGACTGAGTCGATGGGGATCGGAATCAACGCTCAACGGTGAGCAGCTAGTTAAAGGCTTGATATTTCCCGTGAATTGGAGATTGCAGCACGAGTTCCTTTGGTTCGATTTTGAGTTCCACACCGTGCAGGCCAGCTGTTCGATGAAATGCTCAACGACCGAGCGGGGTCGATGGCGGGGCCGGGCAGCATTGAGGATTTGAGGTAATTTGCCTCCTTCTCTGTCTTCGAAACTGCCATTACCTGGTTCTGTGGAAACCTTGGGCGAGGCTACATCCACGAGGGCTTCAACCTGCCGAACACACCGTACCCCTTCCACCGAACCCGGATGGCACGGTGTGACCACTGACCAACAGTGGCCGAGTTGGACACGAGTTTGAGTTACCACACAAAACAGAACGTTGTCACATCATTGATTATGCCACACTCGTTTCCCTTTCCTTTCTTACCACGGCATAGACTTTTCCTTACCAAAGAATCTGTAGCATGAGGATTGTTCTAACTCAGCTACTAGACATGCAACATGCTTATATTGATTAGTCTATATCCGTGTACCTAGCCGGCGTTGAAGTCTACTGAGAAGACCAAAGGCAAACTAGTGAGGTTGTTTCTTCTATATAAGAGGAGGTTAATTACCAGTACGAGTATCACCAAGCCTACGGCTAGCTAATTCCTTGCAGCATGCTCAAGTTGCAGGAGAAGATGACCCTTCTCCTTCCCTCCGTTCCTTCCCCACAGCCACTGGCAAATCTCCTCATGCCGATGTTAATAGTACTGATGACCCTTGAGCTCCTCATGGCAACAGTCGCCGCTGCCCCGTTAGCCTTGCCTGGCTGCCCGGAGGCCTGTGGCAGCGTCACCGTCCCCTACCCTTTTGGCTTCCGGCAAGGCTGTTTTCACAAGGGATTCAACCTCACCTGCAACGAGACGGCCCATCAGCCGAAGCTGTTCTTGCATGACGACGTGGAAGTGGACGCCATCTCACTGGTGGGCGGCACGGTACGTGTCCAGAGCAAGATCGTGAACGGCGAGTGGGACTACAGGAACGTGCCATACCAAGCGCTTAAACCAAACAGGAGCGTTGGGTCTGGGAAGCCCTATATTGGCTACGACGGCTCGTGGTCTGGCGGCCTAACGGTGTTGACCGAGCACAACGTCTTCGTGGCCATCGGATGCAACTTCATCGGCTACCTCGCTGCAGGCAGTGACCGGGGTTCCGTGTACGTCAGCGCATGCGCCACTCTGTGTGACACAGGCTATCCGCCACCGGGGGACACCTCGTGCTCGGGCGTCGGCTGCTGCCGGACGACCATCTCGCAGGGTTTGCCCGCGTACGGGGTGCAGCTCAAGGATTTGAACCAGACTGAAGCCGCGTACACCGGCAAAGGCAAACCCGTTAGTTCACGCCTTTTGTCCGGGGCCGCGTTCATAGTCGATCGCGAGTGGTTCACCGGGATTAACGTAGGCGCCATGCAGAATAGCACTTTCGATGATTTCGGAAGCTCGTATGGATCTCGTCGGAGCAGTCCCAAGGTGACCAGGGTACCCACCGTGCTGGAATGGTGGCTGGATGTAAAAAGCGACCGTGACTTGGTCGTGTTGGATCCCCATTCTGTATCAGGTTGGAGATGCATGAGCTTGAACAGCTTCGCTGCCAACATCAACGGTGCAGTGAACAAAGTAAGGTGCAACTGCTCGGATGGATACGAAGGCAACCCTTACATCATTCACGGATGCCAAGGTAACACCACTCTGCCGAGTGCCGACTCTCCTTTGTTCTCCCCCTTCTAGTTTATTTTTTGCACCTACGCTGTTCAAGAGATTTGCAACACAATAGTTTCACATACGGCAGTTCAGTCCATCTTACAAATTTCGAAAGGGATCGAAGATTAGTGGGCCTTGTGCTTTTAATCGAGTCCATGCGGTAAGCTGGGTGGGTACCGAAACTATTGATACCGTTTAGATAGGACGAGGCTGAGCAGCAATCAGGTCTCCTTTTCCTCTGGTCATAGAAACTCTGATTGCCTTGTTGGACTTGAACCACCGAAGCAGTTCGTGGCCATCTCCTTGCCCGGGATGGCACGGTACGACCAATTGACCAACACAGCGATCGACCGATGCCTCCAGTCCGAGAAGGTCACTATAGGCATAGACAAGTTGGACATGAGTTTCCAAATAAAACACAAGATTGTCAGGCCACTGATTATGCCCAGGATGGCACGGTACGACCAAGTGACCGAACTGATGTTTGCAGTCCACAAACATCACTACAGCGGCACGGTACGACCAAGTGACCGATGCCTGCAGTCCACAAACATCACTATAGCCTATTTTCTTTGAAACAACGGGCCCTCCCGGATTATTACTATAGCCTATAGGCATACACAAGTTAGGCAACTAGATTTTCACATCTTAACTGGTTAACCATGCCACCTTCCTTCCATTAAACAAGAATAAGTAAAATGGGCAATGACTAGCTATGTTTTCCTTGTGCCAAAGATATAGTACACTCCGTCCAGAAAAGCATAGTTATTGCAGTTGCAGGGCTGATGCTTCGGCTTATAGTGGCCCCATTAGCAGCTCTGGTAGTGGCAGCATACCCATCTCCTACCTTTCGGCTTCCAGCAAGGGTGCTTCATTCTTCAACCCGGGGCTTAAACCTCACGGCCGATGAGGTGATCCTGGCCGATGCCACAAGTGTGGATGCCAGTCTGCTGGCCACAAGGCCCCTGATAGTCTCCACGAAGCACACCTGGTTTCTAGCTAGCACTTTGTATCAACTTTAATACAAAGTTAGTATAAAGTTGGGTCATCTATTTTAAAACAGAGGGAGTAGAAAGGAAGCCCTGTGATGCATTTAGGCTGGGGCACCACTTAGGACCCGACTATAAGTGAGTGATCTCTGGTTATGTAGGGTTGTTAATTAGTCCCACTTGCATGTATGCGTTGCATGTCTGTGTGGCTCTTTGTGTCTCACATGTCCGCACTGGTACTATGCAAGGGGCATGGTTAGTTGCCTTTGTGGTCGACGCATGTGTGAAAGGAGGCAACACTGATGGCTTTTGGTTTTTGTTGCCACTATGGGTGTGGGGCGGGGGAGGGGGGAGCTACCGTGCTGCTTCCTTGCCGAAGGTAGGGGTCCGTTGCGCCGCCTGCCTTGTGCTCTTCGGCACGATATCACCAACACCTCTAAAAACAGACACTAATAAAGAAAAGTCCCCATGTGGCAAAGGGCGTGGCGTCGTTAATACGCAATCATCTCTGCAAATGTACTCCATGTGTAACTTCTTTTTAGGGTTACGCCATGTGTAACTTGATCTATGCTGCTCTAGAGCCTGTTCAGATGTCAAACATCTTGACGAAACCCTCAAATCCAGCGTCGTGTGCCGTGCACCGGCTTCTGTCGAGGAGTTCCACCCGTCCGGTTAGCACAAATCGAGCCGATCCTTTGTGCTAACAGGCTGGCTGGCTTGCCTAGAGAGAGGCCTTATGCCTAGTTGGAGAGAGGATAAGAGAGGTTAGGCCTCTGCGCCTTGCTCAGTTCGAAGGGAAACTATGGGCGGTCGAGATTCCTTCATGTCGCCTCATCCGGTGGCTGGTAGTTCTCCCTTCACCTCCCTACATACCCTGTAGCATGCAACGGAGATTCCTGCCTACAGTTCATGCAGCACGCAGCGGGGGTGGCCAATGGTTGCCAGGCAGCGAGGCATCGCGGTCCCCGCGTTGCCACGAGCTGTGCCATGGCAGCGACTAGGCCCCTTATGTCATTGGCGTGCTCCAGTTGGGACGGTGGGCGAACCGGGGTGACTGTGCGGGGTTGGCTATGCTTGCCAAGCTCGCTCTGGGAAGAGAGGAGCACATGGCGCGGTGGCTGGGTATCATTCAGGTGGCGGCTCAGCAGACACTGGGTGGCTTCGGTTGAGCGGGCGTGGGGGTGGGTGGGACCTGCATTAATATGCCGGGGACATACCGATGTGCAACAAAGAAACGTATCATCAGCCTCCCAGGTACAAATACAACTCATTTGCTTGGTAAGGAGTTTCTCAGATCCAAATTAATTTAAGTTTTAGCTCATCTTAAGTCAAACTTGTTTAAGTTGACCAAGTCTATAGAAAAATGCACAAATATTTTTATGTTGTAGATCTCAGTACACGTTTGCGTATGCATGGTCGAACTTAAGTTTGACTTCGGACAAACATAAATCTTCAATTAATTTTGAACGGAGGAGTAGCTGTTAATTTGTTATATAGTATACCAGTAGAACGGCTGAAGAAATACTTCTATTGCATCTTTTGATTTTAAAATCAGTTTTCCTACTACTTGAACATTGAAATCATCAGTTGGTTGACCATTCAAAAAGAAAGAGAAAGTGGAATAAATATAAATAAATAACAATGTTGTAGGAATAATTAATAACACCCTGGGTTCCTACTTAGCCCGAGAAGGCACACACTAAGTTGATTATCAAGGAACAACCAAGTGAACACACGCCAATCCCTTGTCATGATTAAGAATACAACAAATAAAAAAAATATAAGAATGCAAAGTCAAATGGATAAAGAAGAGCAAAGAAGGCCAAGTAAAGATTCAAGCCCACCATGGTAGAGGTACGAGAGGGATTGGTCCACTGTAGGGTTATGGACTTGCCTTCTCTCTGTCCCTCCCTTCCTCTCTCTCCCTTTGTCCACCATGGACCTATGAACCAAAGGTTATCTTCTTCATTTCAAAAAAAAAAGGTTATCTTCTTTGTCCTTCCCACCTATCATTTCAAGGGCAGTCTTGATAATTTCTCAAGTACCCCTAGCCTATATAAACTCCCATTGACATGTAGCTCATTAACTCTCACTTGAATAAACTCAAGGGGAGGGCACTAGAGAGCTTCAAGCCTCCCCGCAGGGCCGTCTCCAGAAATTCGGAGCCCCGGTGCAAAATGCAAATGATGCCCCACAATCTAAAAATTCTTACAACTGAAAAATTAATACAACTAAAGCATATTCTCAGCTAAGTTATATTAACTTTAAATGTGTGGTATTCCGTACAATATTATGAAATAGATCTAATACACCAACTATCTTCCCTAAAGAATTCATCCATGGAGCGGTAAACATTTAGCAATTTGTTAATTAACTCAAGAATTGATGCACATGTAGACTATATTCACTAGCCATTCAATTATTGAACTGAAAAAATGACCTAAATAAATCTGGTTTGCTTGGGCGCACCTGATGGACATGGACTGATCTGTGATGCCTAAAATTAAATCTCCAAATCGATCTGGCCTAAGCCTATGCGCTCGACCGCCGAACCCCTGCTGCTTTTCTTGGCCACATTGGCCCTTGCCGCCGCTTGTTTCCGTTCGAATTTGTTAAACGAATTATGCCGTCTGCCCTGCCGCCGCTTGTTTCCGTTCGAATTTGTTAAACGAATTATGTCGTCTGCCCTGCCATCCTGCTCCTTGCAGTTGTGCCACCACCAAGCAGATTCAATCAAGCCGTCGTACCTGGGAAGGCTAGAAACCAATCGTGTGGCGTGATTTTGCTGACATGCAGGGAGTTTGGGAGATGCTCAGTGCGATCGATCGGTCGGGAAGAAGCTCAGGCGGTCAGACCAGGCCGGCAGGCCCAAAAAAATGCAAAGAAACGTGGTAGCCTAACGAGAAATATATATGGCCCAAAACTGGGCCCCTTGGATTTGGGGGCCCTGTGCGGTCGCATCGCTTGCACCGTGCCTCGCCGTGGGAGCTCTAGAGTCATGTCTGTGGAATCTTGTTCACACATACTGATGTTAAGGAAGAGAAGCTTGGAAAGGGCACCTCTCTCTACACCCTCCTAACACAGGACTAGTTGCGCTTCTTTGAGGCGACAAACATATCCAAAAAAACAT